GAATATTGAAAACGGACGAGAGTAAACATTAGTGACAGGTTCTGACAAAAATCAGCAACCGTCGAGTCACTAAAGAAACCCATGCGGTGTCATTTGATGTATCGAAAGCTTTCGATCGTGCCTGGCACGCCGGTTTGCTGGCTGAACTACCCAAGTTTGGCTTTCTTTCGTAACTTGTGCCTTGGACAACAAGCCACCTCAAGGACCGCAGCCTCTCCGTCAGAGTAGATGGGACCATATCTCGTTCCGTGTCTGTGAATGCTGGTATTCCCCAAGTGTCTGTACTTTCCCCTTCCATTTTTCTGATAACCTTTCTTCAACCTCAAATCCTATTCACGCCTTTGCCGACGACGCTACTCTTCACGCTTTTCTATCATACTCCTCTTCGCGCACCGTTCACCCTAGCATTAATGACGACCGTTCCTCCCTAAATTCTGATTTGGGTCTTACCTCTGCTTGAGGCTGTAGCAACCGTGTTCTGTTCAATGCCATTAAAACTCCCCTTTTATCTCAAACACACATCTTTCTGCACTTCCTTGAATTTCAACTCACTCTCCGTTCCACAGAATCATGCAACCTATTGGGTCTTCCCTTATCTTCTTCTCTTTGATGATCACCCTATATTTATCTACTTGTTTCCCATGCTGCGCGCGAAATTGGTTTCCTCTTCCGCGCCGGACGTTTCTTCACCCCTATCCACCTCTCGCTTTACAAAGCTCAGATTCGCCCCACACTACAATATTGCAGTCATATGTGGGGTGGAGCTTCGTCTACCTCACTATCTCTTCTTGATCGGGTTCAACGTAAGGCCATCCGTCTCATCAACGACCCATCCCTAACAGCCAACTTGCAGTCACTAGCTCACCGTCGGACAATCACTTCTTTATCCTTGTTTTATCGATACTACTTTTGATTTTGCTCTAATGAACTTTCCGCACCTGTACCTCTCCCACATGTTCTTCCTTGTAGATCCGGCAAACAAGCGGATAGCCACCCATTTCAAGTGACTATCCCCAGGTGTCGCACTTCTAACTTTAAATCATCTTTTTTCCCAAGAACAGCACAACTTTCGGTCTTCCCTCCAAAGTACAACATCCTTGTTTTTAAACGCAGAATCAACAAGCTGGTTCTAGCTTGAATGCTTCCCTTACCTTCCCACCTAGAGTATATATTTGAATCATGGGGTTTACTCCTTTTACTGTATTCACTTTCGTGTATTAAAAGAATAGACTAAGTAGTCACGCAAACAGAACAAAAGGATAGAAATCAAACATGCGATGAACACTGCAGTGAATTGGGGCGAAGAGTAGTCCTACGTGAAACGTGATACACTATGGATCAGCGGAAAAATCTACCTATTGATCTCGCAAAAAATATTGGAGCTAGAGCACATTGTCGCATTCTGAAAGAGAGCATATGTCTTTAACCACAACGGAAATCAGTAATTGTTTACTACGGGAGGCCAACGCGGATCCTCAAGGAGGAAAACCAGATTCGTAAGTCCAAAACAGGTAAGTATGCCACCTTGATCAACACACTTAATGGGTCCTAACAGCATTGACTAGGTATGCAGGGCTATTTGGTTCGTGAGATTAAGAAAATATCTAGCCTAGACATCGAGGGGAGCACTTTGATGAGTGTGAGACGAGATGCTTGAGAATGTCATTATGGAACTGGTTAAAAGTATGACAGGGAGAATCGATGAACTAATCACAGTAGAAAGAATGGGACTGCGACTTAAGTGCAAACACTGGAAATCGTCCATGCAACACAGTGCACACTATCCGATGGGAGGTATTTTCATGGACTTCTGAGGGAATCCTAGCTTGTAGGCAAAATATTCGTATGGTATCACATAACTCATCAGTGCACGGTGAAAATGGAGAGAGAAACTTTTACCAATATGACTGTATTGAGGTAGGAACTAGAATGAACAACAATTCAAACTAGAGACTGACCGATGGACAAGTGAAATACGTGGTACAAACATGGAAAGCGATGCAGGGAATCCCACAATAAAAAATCTCGTGGGTTTGCAAAGCAGATATTTTTTCCTACGGAGAAATGCAAACAAATTACGGCGAGTTATCGCAGCCGGGCACAGTTTGTCAGACCGCTGAATCGGTCAGGCACGAAAGAAGCATTGGTCCAGAACATTTTGCGTTCTGCGACTCATTAACCGTTAGAGGAACAGGACGAAAATACCGGCTAGATATACATTTTGACCTACGAAAATGGACTTAGGATATTCGAAAAGAATATGGCTACAGAACGCTGTTAGATCACATGGTTACCATCATACTAATCGGGCAGATCTTTCGGTTGTATGTGACTACGGAGGAACGGGAACCAACCGCGATTCGATTGGCCGGATTTGGTGAGGAAACGTTCACAATCACGCCAGCCAGAGAATGAGTTCGCCTCGGTTGCACCGACCAACTTGGCATTCCGTACCGTCATGATACAACCGGCCAGCTGCAATGAAAATAATCGATAGGACTGAATGTGTGATTAGGACAGAATGCATACGAAATGTGGATTAAATTTCTCAAGTAACTGTGAGTTTGTAGGTAGATGAGGATACGGTCAATTTAAATGATATATATATACATCTCCCTTAAGAGTATCAGGCGGCGAAGTATCACACAAGTCAACACTTTTGTGATTATCGGGACTAAACTAATCCCGTGGTGGTGGTTGGCGTAGTTGTTGCGTGATCCCTTCTTGAAGATTAGGACGATCAATGATTCACCCCAGGACACGGGGATACACTCCTCCGACCAAATACTGCGAAGAAAGCTAGTAATCGAGTTGACAAGATAATCACCACCCACCTTGAAAAGAATAGGGAGAAACTCCTTAGGTTCCGCAGGATTCCCCTTCTTTATTGATTGGATGAAGCTTCATACTTCCAATTCCGATGGGGGCTCACATGTTACTACCTATGGGGTTTCCGCTGCAATTGCTGGAATAACCGCATTACCACTAGACCAATTGAACTGTTCACCAAAATGCTATGCCCACCGATCAAGTCGTTGGTCTTTATTGGCCATACTCTGTCCATTTTTATTGCAAATGGTCTCACTGACCGGTATGCGCTAACCTCCAGTCTGAAACAGTATTTTACTATTCCCTGATGCAGAGACTAATCCCAGTTCGATAGTTCTGTTGACGCACCAGTTCCCACTGTGTTCTTTTAAGAATTACCATGTACTTCCGTTGCAGAAACAATCTATTCCCATGTCGATTCTGACGGATAGAGCCCTTTGTTATATTGGGACTATTAATTTCTGAGAGATAAGATGTGTTAAACGAACTTCGGGCTCGGATTCACAAGCACAAATTGACGGACAATGCACGGCGATTCAAATTTGATCCCACCGGTGATCCACTCCACCACATAGCGGGCCATAAATGGTGTATAATGAAGCGAAAAATGCTTCAAGCATCACACTACAGTAAAATCAATTATTGACACCATACACGTGGTGTGAACATAAAAAGGACCGACATTCCTCACCAACCGGACTTACTTCAAGAGAGTAGACGTAGTTGCGTAAAGCAAAAAATGTCAGTACTTGGATTGTGTTGATGGCTGCAGTAGGTTTCTTATTCACTCCGAAAATCCAGCGACGCACGAACCGACACACTGAGTAGTAGACCACGGTTGTTATGACCTCTGAGGCAAGTCTCGGCACGAAACCCTGAGAAATGCAAATTGGAAAAATGATGTGGAACGAAACAATAAACGGACTACACTAACAACTATTTCCCGCTCGCCTTCGCTCTCTTTGCCCTGTTTGGCTGAACTTAAACGAGAACGCTGAAAAAAATGTAGAAAAAGAGCTTGCAGAACACTGTACTTTTTTCAACAGAGAGGTGGGGGCGCACTTTCAGTTCACATGACTGTGTTTTAGCCGTCTTTTTGAGTAATCATTTATAAGAAGATTGAGAATGTTCAAAACGTTGATTGAAATTACATGCTATAAAGTATAGCCAAATACGTGAACACTACTAGTGGCAACAATCTACCTCGGATTTATAACAAATAATGAGATCCAGTTCTAGAATCTCTAGTAGGGAAGCACCTAGCACGACTGTTAGGGGAAGCTTAATCTTGCCCTGAGAATTCTCGCGGTTCTAATTTGAAACGGGTTGGGATCAGCCGTGGCAACCAATCTGGTGACATGCGTAACACATGGCCCAACCACCATAATCTATGTAGGTCAACCACTTTCTCCAATGGACGACTACGATTACCTAAAACTTTACGCCTAACCTCAGCATTACTCGTCCAGTTTCCCCATCAGATTTGTGCAATGTAAAGTATACCGTCGTGTTCGAATATCGGCAATCCATTTTTATCCTGTTCATGGCCAAGTCTCTGCACCGTATAGCAGCACTGGCTGAACTCTGGTAACATATCTTAGACCCTTCACAGAGCCTGATGTCGCGATGGCGCCACAGATACATCAAGTTAGGTGAGTTCCATTTCAGATGGAGGGCTGGTGTCAACTGGTGTAGACGGGAGCCAGCTGAACTCTGTCTTAAAATGTTCTGCCTGTCGTTCAGCATAGCTGAATATGAATCAATGTGCCGTCAGACTCCTTAAGTAAATCACGCTTACTTTCCTTGGACCCTTACTAAGTAAACAAAAAGAACTGTGACTATAACCGATAGCTGCGGCCTTCCCAATCGCTCTACACTTCACTATCCACCACTTCTCGCGGTCATTCCCCAGGCACTAGATGAGTTTTCGTTTAAGGGATTTGCACACCTTGTCTTATTTTGAATCTGAAGGAATGGCTTTGCGAGCGTCCAGTAGGGCAACCGAAGTCGGGGAGATTCATCGTTTTTTATTTGGCCGTGCGCCAGAATTTGCCGCTGTTTTGATCGCTTCCTTTATGGTCGTCCAGTATTTACTGAGTCTTTCGGCTGGTGGTTGATCTGGAAGGCAATCAGAAAGTTCCGCTGCTAGGGTCGATTGGCAACCAATGCTGACACTATTGTGGGCATCTATTTTCGGTGGTCTCTGGGTTTGTTTACTAGGCTTAGGGAGAATTTTCCTCGTAGCAGAGCCTGACCCCAGTCCACGAGTGTTGACCAGTAGGAGCGGCATTCTTCAATGGATTCTCGCCAGTGGTAGATGATGACGATGTGGCCGACTTGAGTTCAACGCCACGAATAGTTTTGATGTTTTCATGAGAGCAAGAAGAAGCATCATGATCACAGGATGTGTTGAATTCAACTATTTCGTGGTAATCTCATCAGCTGTGTACATACATTCGGATCACGTTCAGTTAAAAGAGTGACAGGTTTGGGGACAGGCGAACACACACGGGGAAGAGAAATCAATCAATACGAAGGCCAAAGGTCACTAATATGAACCGGATTGGGCATAGGGGCAGGGAGCGGAATCACTGCAGGGTGGAGGGAGGGGGACAGTGACAACCACCAAGGCAGCGCGAGGCTAGCCACAACTTTTGTCTGTTTACATAAATCGGGTTTGTAACGTCGAATGGCAGCCGCTTCAGCGAATCGTAGCAGGCTGCTACCTTTCTGGCGGATCAAGATGCGAAAGGCGTCCTTAGGTTTGACACATTCTTCGCAATCCAGTATATGTGGGGCGATTGAACTGGAGGAAAGCATGGATCCGTTGGACGCCAATTGTTTCGGTACTGCTACTCTGGTAGACAATCTTCTCTCAGTTTCATGAAGTGAGCCTCCTGCAAATACCAAGATGTCCATTGACCGAGCACTTTAGAGCAGTTGGGAGAGGTCCTTTTAGAACTCATCCTTCATTTCTGGCGAACTGTAATCAGTTGGTGCATACACGGGAATCACGAATGACCACCGACGTTACGTCCTGTAGCTGTGCTGAACCATTCAAATGTACAGTCTAAAGTCCGCT